CAAAAAAGAATAAAATCTTGCCATTTGCAATGACGAATAGAGTAGTAGAGAGTATTATATTAAGCAAAGTCAGAGAAAAATACCATGTAATTTCACTTATATGTGGAATTTAAGAAACAAAACAAATGAGCAAAGGGAACAAAAAGAGAGGCAAACCATAAACAGACTTTTTTCAAAAAGATTTTATTTATTTGAGAGAGAAAGAGAAAGCATAAGTTGGGGGGGAGGGGCAGAGGGAGAAGGAGAAGCAGACTCCCCACTGAGCAGGGAGCCTGACACGGTGCTTGATCTCATGACCAGGAGATCATGATCTGGGGCTGAAGGCAGACGCTTAACCGACTGAGTCACCCAGGTGCCCCAAGAAACAGACTCTTCACTATAGAGAACAAACTGATGGTTGGTTTCCAGAGGGGAGGTGAGTATGGGGGGTGGGTGAAATAGGTGATGGGGATTAAGGAGTGCACTTGTGATGAGCACCGGGTGATGTGTGGAAGTGTTAATTTACTGTATTGTGCACCGAAAACTAACACTGTATGTTTACTGGAATTAAAATAAAAATGGAAAAAATGAACAAATTAAAACAAAAAAAAAGAGATCCAAATATATATGTTGTCTTAAACTCCCATCTTAGAGTTTGGTCAGCTAGGTGTTTGGAAGGAATTTTTCACTGTAGTGCTAAGCCTGAAGTGGTAATTTCATGCCCTGAACATGAGAGGAGTGGGAAGAGTAAAGATCTAGCCCATTTTAAAGCACCAGGCCCCTTAGCACTCAGTTCCTTCTCTATTCCCTGGATCAAATGAACTGTGGCGTTAACTCCTGTTATCAGCTAAAAAGCAGGTGTTTGTGTAACCTAGGGTGACCAGATGACAATTTAAAAAGTGTTGGCAGAGGGGGAGTGGAATCAGAAAGGACTGTGGCACTCTTTGTTCTCTTAGGTTCTTTTGGGATGAACTCTTCTATGTATGTTTTTCAGAGTTCTGATCAGCATGTGTACGTGCTGTTTTCTGTTTTGCTGTTTTCATTTAACATTTTACATTCTGCCTCCCACTTGCGCAGTGCATGTAATTGTCATCTTTAATGGCTGGGTAACATTCCATTGTATTGAATAGCATGATAGTTCTTAGGACTGGGCTCATTTCTCTAAGCAGATATAAAAGGCTTGCTGTTTCTTAGCACCAGAGGTCTATTTTAGTTCCTGGAAGTGGAGACTAGCATGAGCGTGGGATTGCGTGGGATTCTTGAGTCATCCTCACGCAGCACAGTTTGAGTGCTTTGTTAACATCACTCAGCCCACCACCCGACAGCAGAGCCTCCTGGGCTCCCTGGACCTGAGCCGTGCACTTCAGAGGCATAGGGATGGAAATACAAGCCCCCCGACTCTCACAACCCCCAGCTGATACTATCTCTGTGCCAACAGCGAGAAGTTCTTGCTCCTTTCTCACTCACCTGGGATAGCTCCACCTGTTTCACATAGAGATACGAGAGAAAAGGCAAGGAGAGTGGGAAGATGGACTATTATAGCTAAAGAAGTTAAGGTGCAGGTAGGTCAGAGGTGCCATGGCTAAGATCTTTGAGGAACACCTGTGAAAAATGAAGTAGGATGGGATGATTTCCAGCCCTCAGTCTCTATATCTCATTCCTGTCAGAAATCCCAGTTTGGGTCATCCAATAAAGGGTTAAATGGGATTTAAGACAAAGCAGTGAATCCAGGCTTGACCTCTATGCCACCCATGGCCAAGGGCATTTTATGGTTAAGAATGCTAGTTGGCAAGATTCTCCTGAGAAGAGTGTTATATTCAGTGCGCTTGGTTAAATCTCACTAGTAGCAACTGCCTTGAAAATGAGTGATTCTAATTGGTTATTGGGAGGGAAGAGTGATACTCAAAACACAACTGGTATGGCCCAAGCACCAAACACTCAAACGGTCAGGGATTTATGGCTATGTTGGCTACTACTGGTTTCCATGCTCTAATGCTAATTGATCCCTGTTCTTTCTGAACTCTTGCTGTGTACTCATTATATGACCTGTGTTCTGCAGATCGCACTGGATAGGATACCAGTATTGCTGAAAGGGTACTCCTGGCAGGTAGAAACAACATATAAATGAAGAGTGGTGAGTAGATGTCAGGAGTTGAAAACCATTCCAAACAGAGGGACTCCCCCCACCCACCTGTGCATATTGAATTCCCTAGTCTGAAAACCTGGGCCTGTCCTGCCAGACAAAATCAACAAGTGCTCAGAGCCATGTGGGGCTTGTTGAATGATGGACCAAGGTCTTTTGCTCACAAAGTGCCTCTGAAATGGAGGCAAGCTTTAAAAGTCCTAGAGGAGGGAAGCCAAGACCCTGACAATGAAAGGAGAGAAACTCCTAAGGCAGCCACTTGCCTGAAATAAAATTTGCCTCTGAGGGTCAAGAAACTATCCTTAAGCTAGGTCTTGGGCTGCCATGATGAGACATGGATTTGTAAGACCTCTTTGGCACATCTGGATGTTCAAAGACAAGGATATGGGAGGCAGTGGTTAGCAGTGGTTATATAGTTACCCTAAATTCTCCATGCTCTTTTCACATTAGAATCCAAGGCATCTCTGTTTGGGTTTTTCTTTATAGAGAAGAGGATGCCTTTCCCAGAAGCAGGGGTGTAGCTGTCTAATGATCTAAGCTTCTCCCCTAGTCATAATAATAGCCTCTAACATTTAATGAGCTACTTAATATGTGCCAGGCACTATGTGAAATATTTTTATGTGGATTTTCCCCTTTGATCCTGACAACAACTCTGTGAGGTAGGTACTCTTAATTCTGTCTTCCTGGGGGAAATTGCCAAGGTTACCCAGCTTGATATGGGATTTGGAAAGTACAGTAACAGCCTGTAGCAACAAAATTAAGATTCACTCAAAAAATAAATAGAGGTATGCAGGCTGTATTTGGGGGGATATTCTTGAAATAACTGTGATTGATGGATTCTATGTAAGAAAAATTTGGTTGACGCTCAGGAACACATACATTGTACAAAGGGAAGCATGCCAATATACTGAAATGCGGATTTATCAGGTTGTTTCAACTTAAATTCCCCAACTTGCCCACATTCATAGGTAGCACTCCCGCCCCCTTTTAACCACACTTCCCTCTTGGCTGAGAAAGCATGCGTGCCTCATAAACATACATGCTGTAAAGACAAATGTGGGTGATCCAGTTTTCTTAAGAACCCAAGTTTGTTGAATTACATTTCCTGTTTGATAAAACTCATCTTCAGTAGAGCTATTTGCTGACTTGCTGGGTGAGAATAATTGTCAACAGAATTCTCCAGTGACATTAGGCAAGTTGGAGGAAAGTAGGTGGGTCGAGAGTGGCCATGGAAGACCCAAGGAGGAAGCAGTATATTTGGACTAGAAAGATACAGTACTGGCTTGGGCATACAGGAGATGTGGATTTTAAGAGCAGCTCTGTCAATGGTCAAGTCACTTAACCTCTCTGTACCCTAGACTTCTCATCTATTTAACAACTGAGGTTGGACTAGAGGCTCTGTAAGGTTACTTCCAGCTCCATGACTAATAGGCTGAGCCTCAGTCAGAAGCCTATCAAACATCCACAAGTGGGGGGTGCCTGGGTGGCTCAGTCAGTTGGGTGTCTGCCTCCCACTCAGGGTATGATCTCGGGGTCCTGGGACCGAGCCCCGTGTTGGGTTCCCTGCTCAGCCGGGAATCTGCTTGTCCTTTGCCCTCTGCCCCTCCCCTCTCTCATTTTCTCTCTCTCTCTCAAATAAATAAAATCTTAAAAAAAAAAGATTCAGGGGTGCCTGGGTGGCTCGGTTGGTTAAGCATCTGCCTTTGGCTCAGGTCATGATCCGTGGGTGCTGGGATCAAGCCCTGCATGGGGCTCCCTGCTTAGTGGGGAGCCTGCTTCTCCCTCCCCCTCTGCCTGCTGCTCCCCCTGCTTGTGCTCTCTCTCCATCAAATAAATAAAAGAATAAAATTTAAAAATAAAAAAGATCCAGAAGGTGCCTCGGTGGTTCTTTTGGAGATAAGGCCATGTGTAATGCATAATAACAAATGATGCAGGCTTAGACAGTGTCAGGCACTCTAGATGGGGTTGTAAGACTGATCATTCCATGCGAGGTTTCTATCCTTCAGAAACAATTAGGGGCTAGTTGAGGGAGCATAAGGTAAGAGTTAAGAGCATGAGTTCTGAGGTTGGATCTTAGTTTGAAAACCAGTTCTGCCACTTCCTCATGGGTGCCCTGGGACAAATGATTTGACCTCGCTAAATGTCAGTTCCTGCTTCTGTAAGATGACAAAAGCAATACTATGTAAGCACTTAGCCCAGCACCTGGCCAAACAGAAGTACTCAGTCACCACATCTGCCACAGCTATTGGTGTGCTTATCCCTATCAAAGTTAATTCTCCTGACTTGGGCATGGCTACACTTCACTTTTCCTGGATGTAGCTTTTCCTTTCTGCATGGAATCTGAGAGAGCATAAACAAGTCTTTCTGGCCTGCCACCTTCTCTAGAGTCAGATCTGGATTCAAATCCCTGTTCCGCTTCTTACAGGGTGTGGGACCTCGGGCAAGTCATTTAACTTGTCTGCTCCTTAGCTCCTGCATTTGGGAAAATGCAGGTGGGTCTACTGCCTACCCTTAAGGGTTGTTGTGCATAAGATGATGAATGTGAAGAATTTAGGCCTGTGCCTAAGGCCTGAGGTCCAGAAGGTACCCGATCAATGTGGTGAAAGTAATAGTTGTAGGAATAGTAAATACTACCACCACCTTCCTTGGGATTATCAGAGGGTTGAATGTGTACAAGCTCATACAGCATTTGCATACCTAATCCAAGTGTTGGGAGAGGCAGCCATTGCCGTTTCTTGGAGCGATAGTGAGGGAATTGTTGCCACAGGCTCCACAGACCATGGCTGGCCATTTAAAACCAAGGTGTTTTTTTGTTTTTGTTTTTGTTTTTTTTCTGGAGGCATGACAAAATGATTCAGTAGGACACAGTTCTCAGCAGCGAAGTTCTATTTATTTCTACCAGTCCCCTTACACCCAAGAACCTCAGGGGTGGAGAATGGAATTCCAACCTGACGCTTTACTTCTAAGGCTCAATTTCAGTTGGTCACCCATGACTTATTGTTCATGGGCTTCATGAGGAGCACCCAGGGGCAGAGACGTAACATCTCTGTTCTTCTTTGCCAAAAGCATCTTCGTTCTCAAATGGATGCCGCCTAACTTTTCTTGAGCCTCTTGGGGCAGGTGTAAGCTTCACTTGACAGATGGTAGGAACAATGGGAGTCCACAGGGATGTGGTGTTAAAGTAGGTGGAGTTGTAGGTAGGGGGGACTTTAGTGGTATTAACAAATAGAAATGAAAAAACTGAGCAGTCCTGATGGTTCTTAGAGATGAGCCTATTTACTGAGGGAATGATAGGAGATTTTTTTTTATTTCCCTCCATTTTTCTCTTGTACTCTGTTAAAAGTCTGATAAGAGAAAGAAAACAGTGAGTCACTGCAAAGTGAAGCTAAGCACCAGGTTTCCTGTCCTTCCCAGATCACTCCCAGTTGGGAGGGTGTTGGCCCCTACACCCAACAGGGGTGTAGACTGCATCCCTCCAGACACCTGCCCTCTGCCCTGGCCTCATACTTTCAATCAGTCTTGCCCTCTTCCCTCTCCCCTTCATGGAATACTAACCACAGGATCCAAAGGCTTCTTCACAGGGATTTTCCAGTAACATCTCTTCTGTGTCCCATGTCTCCAGCTTTTTTTTTGCCTTGGGTTCTGAGATTATAGAAATGAAAAATGAATTTCAGTTTTGGACAGAGATTTAGGGGTAATTCCTCACATCTAGAAAAACACTTCCTCTGCATGTCTACCAGATTTCTTCCACTCAGCTCTCATCCTCACCCCTTGTCCCCGGAGCAGTGCCTTTCTCCTCCTCAGTGGCCCTGGCCAAGGCTAGGCCCCTCCGTATAGGTAGAACAACCCAAGGCTCTGGGGTGGCCTGAAGGGCTAGATCCCTTGGAGAGCAGAGGTGACATAATATTGACAGTTGACTATCATGGACAGTGGGGTCCCAAGAAACACTGGAAAGGAGTGGCCATTAACAACAATGGGCCTTCAAAGTCTCACAGTTTTTTTTTTAAATGCCTTTATTGTATTAGGAATGATTGTATACGCTTATTAGAAAAACTAGAATTTCCAAAAAGCCATACATCCAGAGAAAGTCACCTAGGCCTTTTACTCCTCAAAATCACCTAGTACCTCACCCCTAGAGAAAACCACTGCTGTTTTGGTGATTTCCCTTCAGATATTCTGTGCATGTGTACATATCATGCTGAACATGCTAGACTCTGATTTACCATTTTCTCTAGCAAAATATCAGGCTATGGAAAACTTTCCATGTCAGTAAATATTATGCCAATAATATTATGTCAACATTATGCCTTGTAATGTCTGCCAATAATATTATGTCAACATTATGCCTTGTAATGTCTACATAGTATTCGATTGTATGAATGCACCATAATTTATTTAGCCATTTCCCACTATTAGTCCTTTAGCTTGTTTCCAACTTTGAGCTGTTGTACACAATATTGGGTTTCCACATTTTAAAAAGAGATTTTATTTATTTATTTGACAGAGAGATCACAAGTAGGCAGAGAGGCAGGCAGAGAGAGAGAGAGAGAGAGAGGAGGAAGCAGGCTCCCTGCTGAGCAGAGGGCCCAATGCGAGGCTCAATCCCAGGACCCCAGGACCACGACCAGAGCCAAAGGCAGAGGCCTTAACCCCCACTGAGCCACCCAGGCACCTGGGTTTCCACATTTTTAACGTGGAATGTGTGTGTGTGTGTATACACACACACCCAACTTTAAGTGGAATGTGTGTATATGTATATGTATACACACATACACACACATACATATTGAGAGAGGGAGACAGACAACCAAACTACTCACCATAAAGGTTGTATCAATTTGTACTTCCACCACTGGAAATCATAACCTTTAAGATAACCTGATAGCTGTGCAAAGATCTTGTGTCAGCCAGTGCTGGAGTGCTGGGAGATCTTACTGGGCTACCAGAGGGTAGTCCCCAAGCACTCTCCCTCTACCTCACCTGCTTCTTCTACCCACCAACCATAGTATGAGAAAAGAGTTTCCAACTCAAAATAGGAATACTCTTTTATAAATTACGAGAGAAGGCCTATATTTTCTTTTCTATCTTTTCTGTTCTAACTAACCACTGGTCCAGCATTACCTTCAAAAAGATCATTGACAATTGGAGCTGGGGTCTGCAAGTCATCACTTTGATTGTAGCAAAGCTCAGTAGTGTTCCAAGTTCTGTTTCCACCAGAGCATTCACCTTCCTCCATGGGTTCATCTAAAGCAAATGTTACTGATATATTCTTTTTAGGCCTTAATCTTATACCTTCTTTCTGTACAGCAAGAGGATGGAGAGGGGAAAAAAGTCAGTTGTTGCTCTGACAGTTCAGGGATTGGTCCCTGGGGCAGTAACATTTAAAGAGCCACTTAACCTGTAGGATTGGTTTTAGGGGCCTAGCTTCCACTGAGTGTTGTCCTAGATGATGTCTTTTTTCTTTGGACATTCCCATCCTGGTAGCAAAGCTGGGGAAGAGAGGAAAGACAGAGCAATAGCAAAATAGACAAACTTCAGCCTCCTTAATTGAATGTAGCTATGACCCTATCCCTGCTATATGCCTTTGGACATTGGAGGGGAAGACAGAGCAAGAGGACATTTAGATCTTTTATTCTTCAAAGCCTTAATCAACTCCTGTTTTTTTTCCCTTTTTCTTTTCCATATTCCTGTTGTCCCTCATCTTTCCTAATTACTGGGAGGAACAGAGAACTTAAAGCAGAGAATGTAGAGTAGATTTACGACTCTTTGCCACAGAATGTTTCAATCAGCTTCTTAAGGAGCTCATGTTCCTTTTCTCCTCTGTGTGGCAAACCAGGCAACAGGAACCTTGTTTTGCAGATGCTCTAATACCGATAGGTTTGGCCTTACCTTTCTACAATGCATTCCACTAACATGAGGGGAGGGGAGGTCTAACAACTTTGGAATGTTCATGGTCATTGCCCTAGCCCCATTTGGGTCAACTGATCTGGAAACACTTGCTCAGCATAGCACAGAATCCAAACACCACCCAGACCTCCCTGCATACACTGAAGACTGATTCCTGCATCTGTTCTTATTAGTACACCTAATAGAGGCGCTCAGTACCTGTCTGATGAGCATCTTTCCCCAGAGTCTCTGATGCCCTTGGAGGTTGGGATGCTCAAGGTGAGTGCCTGTTGGCGAGTACACAGCTCATCATACTTATCCCCAATGGCAGCTAATAGCCAGCGCAGCCCTTCAATTATGGGCTGATGGTTCCTTTTTTGTAGGTTTTTGATGGCTGAACAGGGTTCCTGTGACAGAAAGAGAAGAGAAGGCTCTAACCCAAGGGACTGGAACCCTTGAGCCCAAAGTCCGAATCATTCTCAGCCAAGAGCAGAGGTACCCTTAAGCTCTGCTATGCCTATAGAGGCTCTCAGACTTCCTAGGAGATACCCAGGACCCACCCCTGAGAAGGTAAACGAAAAGAGAAGAGTTAAGGTCCTTTAATAAAGTGATTGTGGTGTCATGTCCTGGATGCGTGACGTTGGGCAAGTCACTCCTAGCCTCTGAGCCTTAGCTTTCTTGTCCATAAAATGAGGCTATTGAAACTTCTAATTGTACAGAGCTATTTTGAAGGCCTAATGAGAAAACAGATGTGAAAGTGTCTTAAGAATGCATTATTTACTGTCAGTGTTGAGTCAGAAATCATCACTGTAGATGTTGCCTGTGGGGGAGAGGCTTTGCCTGAGACCCAACAGATGGGGCTGATTATGGAATGGGCCAGGGGATGCATCAGCTGGGCTCAAGAGGGTGAGAGGGAGGGAGGGGAGGAAGGGGAGTTGATACTTACCACTCGGCACAGGGACTTGTTCTCATTCACTAGCCTTTCTAGGAGTAGATATTCAATAATATCACAAGGTAGGAGGGCATCCTTCTTGTCTTGTTTGTTTGCCAGGCTAGAGCAGGGCATAGGAGAGAGGAAGGGAAGAGAAGAGGAAGAGTGTAACAGAAATTGAGGCCAAGGGCAAGCAAAGAAGGGAAGGAGGAGGAGAACCAATCAAATCTAGTACAACTACTGTATATCCAGGAACTAGCTTTAAAAACATAACCAATGGGGGGCACGTGGGTGGCTCAGTGGGTTAAGTCTCTGCCTTCGGCTCAGGTCATGATCCCAGGGTCCTGGGATCGAGCCCCGAGTAGGGCTCTCTGCTTAGCAGGGAGTCTGCTTCCCCCTCCCCCTCTGCCTGCCTCTCTGCCTACTTGTGCTCGCTCTCGCTCTCTCTCTCTCTGTCAAAAAAAATAAATAAATAAAATCGTAAAAAAAAAAAACCATAACCAATGGGATGAGGCAGAAATGTTTCTAGCCAACTCTAAGTGGAGAAAAGAAGAGGACAGATAATTTGAATTCAAGATAATCCCCCAGCCTCACTTCTCTCTTCCTCTACTCTGTGCCATCAAACTTGAATTAGAATGGCTAACTGCGATATGAATAGAATTGGAGTTTTTAACACACCATCCCAACATCTGTTCAGGCTTGAATTGGGGGTACTAATGAGGAATGAGAAAAACAAAAAGGGAGTGGGGGAAGGGTGAGGGATGATGGGCCACCAGAATTACCACCCTGGAATGAATGCTAGTTATATAACTCTTGGGTAGTTGGTGAGAGGAGGAGTCCATTGATATCAATTATACAAAACAGGAGTTGTTTTCTGCCACCTTCTCAGGGTCAGAGACGGAAAGTGGCTTTTGAAAACTGGCCCCAGAGGACTGGCCCACTTCCTTTCACTGAGCTGAAGGGAAGAGGAGGTCACGCTGGGTGTGACAAAGGGACCACCCTTCCTGCCTACTTCTCTTCTGAGGATACATGGGAAGGGGGAATTGGGCACAAAAGCATAGGCTTACAGTAGGAGAGGTTTCCCTGCCACTCTTTTATCAGCCAGCAGATGTGTCATGATGATCTTCACTTCTTGCATGCGGCCTAAGTCACTGGAATCCAGGACAAAAACAAGTCCATGTGCCTGTGCATAGTAGTTTGGCCAGATTTCTCGGCCCTTCATGTCTCCATTCAGGTCATAGATGGAAACTTCATACTCATCCAGCAAGAGTGTAATCAGTTCAGGTTTCATACAATTGTCCATTCTACTGGGAAGTACTAGCAGCCACAAAGCAAGGGAATAGAATTAGACATAAGAATTTGGTTAGCAATGATCTGAACCTTGACCAGAGCCTGCTCTGAGGAATCCAACTGAGGTGTCTTGCCATTCTGCTCACACTCATGGATTCATCTTCCTCAACCAGCACTTGGTCATGCTACCCTTTCCTGGCTCAGTAGCCTTCAGTGAATACCCACAGCTCCCAGGATAGAATACTGGCCCCTTTGCCTCCTAACCTTCCAGACCTGACTGGTGTCCACAGAGCCCCTGTTACACAACCAGTTTCTTCCTCCCTCTGCTCCTTGGCTCGTGTTCTTCCCATACCACAAGAATGCAATGCTCTGTTTTGCCCTGGGCCTTCACAACATGCTATTCCCACCGCTTAGAACACTCTCACACTACTCTCTGTTTGCTTAGTGTCTTTTAAAAAAATACATCAATTTAGGGGCATCTGGGTGGCTCAGTGTGTTGAGCCTGTGCCTTCAGCTCGGGTCATAGTCTCAGGGTCCTGGGATTGAGCCCCGCATTGGGCTCTCTGCTCAGCAGGGAGCCTGCTCCCTCCCTTCTCTCTGCCTGCCTCTCTGCGTACTTGTGATCTCTCTCTGTCAAATAAATAAATAAAATCTTTAAAAAAATATATCAGTTTAGATTGTGTTGCCTCTAGGAATTTTTCCCTAACTCACACCATCATCTGCCAAGCTAGACAAGGTGCCTTTCTTCTAGGCTTACCACTCACAGCACATATTAGTGTTATAAAGTCTATGATTTTGTTATCTGAGTTCTAAACTACAACAGGACAGGAACCCTTTCAGTTCTGTTCACCGTTGTATTCTTGATGCTGAGCACAGAAGTTGGCACACAGCTGGCAGAACAGATATTTGTTGAATGAATTTTGTTGAATGAATGAATGAATGAATGAACGAACGAACAAGGGGCCCTTTTCTCCCAGCCTTTCTTCAAGGCCTACCTCAAGTACCACTTTTTTTAAGGAAGCCTCTCTGACCTGTCCAGTTCTCATTTCTCTCGCTTTTATTGAGCATGTGGTCTAGTGAACTGGTTCTTAACTTCATTCCGTGTGTATCCTGTCTTCCCAACTAAAATGTAAGTTCTGTCAGGGAGGGGCTCCACATTACCTTACATATAGTAGGTACTTAACAAATGTTTATGGTGCCTATTACTGTGGATGAAAGTATGAAGTCCTCTTCCTCATATCTCCTCCAAGAAACCATTCCAAACTCAGATGCATTTACTGTTTTAAGGTTATGGCCAGGGCATAGAATCCCATAGAGCGTTCCATACCTCTTTCAGCTCCCATAGAAATGCAGTTCAAAATGACAGTTTTATACACATTGCAGTCTTTTGAACTCACAGTCCAACCTGGCTCTCTCCCCACATTAGTAGTAAAATGATTTTTATAGATTCTCTATACTCATACCTGGGAGTTTTAACACCAGAATCAGCAGCTTCTTATTTATATATAGTCTTAGATCTACCTATGACACTTTCCATGAGATTGCCAGAACGAGCCATTTAGCTGAGACATTAATAAGATGCTTTCAAATCTTCGGAAATGTATGACTATACACATATTTACGTGTGTGTGTGTGTAATATATATATAATTTATATTATATTATCTATATTATCTATATAATATATATTATCATTACATTTTCATGTTAGTCAATGATCTTTTTAATTACAGTTTTCAGATAACAGTTTTCAGTCACAACTTTGATATGGCATTTGCTATGTATTAGATTACTTAAAAATAGTGAGTGAATAGGTTGAAATTCCATAGGTAATTTTTTAATCTTATTTCCTGCGTCCAGGCAAGATTTTTTTTAAGAAAATTTTTTTAAAGATTTTATTTATTTATTTGAGAGAGAATGAGTGAGAGAGAGCATGAGAGAGGAGGAGGTCAGAGGGAGAAGCAGACTCCCCAAGGAGCTGGGAGTCCAATGCGGGACTCGATCCTGGAAGTCCAGGATCATGACCTGAGCCAAAGGCAGTCGCTCAACCAACTGAGCCACCCAGGTGCCCTAGGCAAGATTTATATCATTTTTTTCTCTGTCAGAGCAAAACATTTTCCCTAGTTTCTTTTTTTTCTTTTTACTTGAAACCTTACCAGTTCTTTCCATAATGCAATCTATTGTTGGTGAACCTTAGAAGACATGAGAAGTTGTTTCCTGATAATTTAAATTTATTTTATTTCCGCTATTAATTTGTAAACTCTCTGAGGACAGGCACTGAGTCTAATTTATCTCTACGTTCTTTTTTTTTATAAAGATTTTATTTATTCATTTGACAGACAGAGATCACAAGTAGGCAGAGAGGCAGGCAGAGAGAGAGGAAGGGAAGCAGGCTACCTGCTGAGCAGAGAGCCGGACTCGGACTCGGGGCTCAATCCCAGGACCCTGAGATCATGACCTGAGCCGAAGGCAGAGGCTTTAACCCACTGAGCCACCCAGGCACGCTTATATCTACATTCTAAAGCACAGTCTGGGGACTCTGATTCAGAGATACATAGAGGTAATCGTGAAGTCCTACTTTATACCAAATAAATCAGAACCTCTATGTTTGGGACCAGGCATTTGTATGTTTAACAAACTCCTATAGTGAAGAAAATCCCCAGGTGATTTTTCTGTACTTTTAAGCTTGAGACTCACAGCCTTAGAGAGCAATGAAACTCATGCCTGTTGTGTCTCAGCATCATCTGGTGAGCTTGTTAAGATTTTGTATCTGTGGGCCCACCCAGACCAAAGTATCAGAACCTCCAGGCACCTGGGTCAGTAGGTGTGAAATCCCCCTAGGTGATTCTGAGTTTAGGCTCTCAGTACTCACTATGCTCAAAGGATCACCTGTGGAGCTTTTAAACCCTGTGACGGTAGGCCTCATTCTTTGAAGGTTTGATGCCACAGATCTGGATTGGGACTTAAGCATTTTTTTTAAAGCTCCCCAGGTAACTGAAAGCTATTGCTGGATTTGAGAGGCACTGCTCTAAATGCCCTCATTTAGGGCAGCTGCCCATGCTCATGTTTGGGTTTCTTGCCCCCATGGGACCATGCCAGGCAGAACAGTTATAGTGAATGGTGTCATTGATAATAATGGCTTATATCCCAAAAATATTTTGTAGCTGGTATCTTCAAACATTCACACAAGTTAGAACTTGTAGATTGAAATTTCCTTCCTAGGTTATTGTTTGTTCTTGGCAATCATAAGCATCTGCAGGAGCAGGGGAGGCAAGCTATTGCATTTTGGGTACTAGATTGACTCTGGTTGTCCTGCATGGCCAAAGATGGCCCTCGACAGCCTTCAGATTGTGACATCAGTGACACTTTGCTTCTTCACCATTCAAAACTATTCTTTGAATGAAGTCACAACCATATACCTATTGGCTTATGAAGCAGCCCCAAGGTAGTCACCAAGCACAAGGCAAGTTATACAGTAACACGTCAAATAGACTATAGGCTCTTTCCTTGAGGAATTAGAACGAAAAGCAGGCACAGTTCTCACAGACAAAATAGCACATGGCTAATTGCAAGATGAATGCTTCCCAAAGCTGGCTGGCCATCAGGAACACCTGGGGAGTTTTTATTTTTTTTTCTGGGGAGTTTTTAAAAGATAGATTCCCAGGACCCACCCAGACTGGATGGGAACCTGGGGCTGGGGCTGAGTTGGGGCTCTAAAAATTATCCCCACTTTCATCAGTAATCTTGTGATTTATCCTGGCTCCTTGATTTTCCTGCTACCCCTTACCTTTTTACCATTTCTGCCTATCAGAGAACTGGGAGAGGTAGTGTGTCAAGTTTGCTGCCTATAAGGGGAAAGGACCGGGGAGGGGGAGGATGGAGAAGTTGTAAAGAGGCAGCATGTTGCCTGAGGAGAATGGGGGAGAACATTCCTATTGAGTACCTGCCCGAGGATACTAAACGCACAGAGACTAAAGATACAGAGCTGAAAAGATCTGTAACTTCTCAAGAGGCTCACAGTCCAGGGGAAGGACTTGCTGTCATGCAGTGATGTCATAAGTGCAAGCTAGAGAGAGACACAGAATAGAGCAGGAGCTGAGGAAGGAGGTGCTGGGCATTAGGGATGACCCAGGTCAAGCTGGGGCCAAGTGTAGTCTTGTGTCTGAGGGCATTTGATTAAGCAGTTAGGTAATGAAGTAGATGAATTGTTAGGTAGTGAGACAGCATGTACAGAGTGTGGGCATGTGAACTAGAATGCTATGATCATGGAGGAGTGGCAAATAATTTGTTTTGGCTTTATCAGGGGGCAAATGCAGAGAGGGTGAGAAAATGAAGCTGGAGGAGAAGTCGAGGACCAAATCACGGAGGACATGGTGTGCTGCTGAAGAATTTAAATTTCGTTTTGATGATAAAGGGGAGGCTTTGGTTTTGAGCAGGGAAGTGCCATGGTCAGATTTTTGCATTAGATCCTTCAGGCAACTGTGTGCATTGAGAACTGGGGGGACAACTAGAGATGGCAAGATCAGCCAGCAGGCAGTCACTGTAGTTCAAGGAGATTGATGCAGGCTTCCAGTAAACAAGTGGCAGAGGAGTCAGGTGAGCCGTTGCCTGTACTTTGCTGAGGGCCCAGGTTATGTAAAGCTCAGCCACATCATCACACCCCTTTTTCTGTTTTATACACTTAAATGGAGGTCATCCTATGCTGGGCTCCCTACTTGGCTGACCAGCAGTTAGATGGGTCTTTGCAACTAGAATAGTAGTTCCCTGAAATTCTGTGTAACTATTGCTTGAAATGTCAAGGTATTAAACTGGAGATCTGGTATTAAGCGTGCATGCCTCTGAGCTGACAACATTTCTCAAGCTCCAACCCTCTATATTAACTGTCACAAAGAGTTTCATGTTATTAAACTTCTTCATCATCCCACACTTGTCTCTCTTATCTAGACCAAATTCTACTTTAATTGAGTTCTGAAACTAGACACTGTTTGAAACATGCTATCCTTTATAATTGACTGCAGTACTTTACATAGTTTGAGCTCATTCATACTGACACTATGAGAGGACCTTCAATTAGGATGTCTTGTAAAGGGAGAGGCGACAGACATTACATAAACAGGCTGATTGTACCTGAGGAATGTGTGTGTGTGTGTGTGTGTGTGTGTGTGTGTGTGTGTGTGCGCGCGCGCGCGCGCGCGCGCGCGTTTGCGTTGGGAAGTGATTATCTTCAAAAGACGGAACCTGAGGGCCATGAAGTAAGGCTAGGAAGAAAGGAATGATTATTTAATTGGCCCCTGGGGACCGTAAGGAAACCTAAACCAGAATATAATGCTCTTAATTTCTTACATCTTTGGAAAGCCTCCACAAGAACAGTTTTGCCTGAGTTGTCCAATCCAATGATAATGATGGTCACATTCCTGGAAATAGAAAAGAAAAATGAGCCAAAGCCTTAAAAAGCACTGTTAGTTCTTAGGGTAAACAAAGAATTCTATTCTTCATTGATGTTTGAGGCTCTGCCTGTAGGAGTCTCAATGCATCTACCATAAAAAGCACAGCCAAGGTGGTAGAAAGTGGCATGGGAACCCCTTCCTAAAGCCTCCAAGGATGCATTTATTCCCTGATTTACTTGCCTTGTAGAATTGGCCATCCTCCCCCAACCTTGCCTCCAATCTTGCAGACGTTGCTTAATCACATTCCCTTACAATATATATCATGAAGATTCGTCCCTTAAGGGACTTTGGGCCAATACACTGGAGGAAATGGAATACGTCTAGAGAAATAATTGCAATATTACCTTCGTGTCTCTTCAGTTGTCTTTAGCCGAGACCAGCAAGAGGTCAGCAGCCGAAACATGACTCAGCTTGGTTCTTTAATATTAAGGGAAACAGATAAATGAAAAATCAGCCCCATTATTAACACTGAGCCTCAGTCATCTTAGGACTTCACAGGTGCTAATAAACAAAGTCTTAAGTCAGAAGTCCATAACTTCATGCTATCCAACCTTGTCTACAAATGTCATAGAGGGAGAAACGTAATTCTCAACTCTACTGGAAGGTACCTGCAAAGTGGGAGGAATTTCTTATTAAAGCAACCCACCATGGGCATGATAACATCAGTTATGGCCTGTCCCTTTAGCCATAGTTCATCCCTGTTAGGAATATCTCTGTTCAGTCCTGGGTGGGGGTGGGGTGTGCAGCAAAACCTTGGAGAAGAACCAGATTAGATTTTAAGAAGGACCTATTGGGAGATCCAAGTGACAACTATCCACTGGGCTTGGTTCTTTTATTGCTTTCTGCTTCAAATATGTATGTATTGATGACCCACTGTCATAGATTTCATACAATTTCTAGAACTGTAAGGGACCTTAGAGATCACCTAGTCTAACAGATTTCAAACATCAGTGCAGGTACCCCACTCTTTAAGATTCTAGGTTGCTGCATAAGCTCCCCTGGTGGTTTCAAAGTGCAGTGGTATTTGGAAGTGAACACATAAGTAAAAAGGACAATTTAGACAATCACTTCAATGTTTATCCATGTTGTAGTGTGTATTAGTATTTTGTTCCTTTTTCTGGTTGAATAATATTTTGCTGTGTGGATATACCACAGTTTGCTTATCCATTCACCAGTTGATGGGCATTTGGATTGTTTCTACTTTTTGGATCGTAGGAATAATGGTGCTGGTGTTTTCAGCTCTCTTAGGTCTATACCGAGGAGAGGAATTGCTGGGTCATATGATAACTCTATGTTTAACCTTTTAAACCTTTTTGAACCTTTTGAAGACGTGTCAGACTGTTTTCCAAAGTGGCGGCAACATTTTACTCTCCCACCAGCAGTGCAGATGATTTCCACTTTATCCACATCCTCACCAACACTTATTGTTGTCTGTTTATAGCTATCCTAGTGGGTGTGAAGTGGTATCTGATTGTGGTTTTGATTTACATTTTCCTGTTGACTAATTATATTGGATCCCAGAGCTGGGGGAAGTTCCCACTGAGTGAAACACTTCAACTGATACTTCAGATGGGCTTTGCCTAGCTACCTCATGAGCACAGGGCATGTCCAACTTATCATGGATAACGTTAACAAGGTTCTGCAGAGTCAGTCCCTATTTTGGAGAATTGCCATTACCAAATAGAGACTCATAGTTCATAGCACTACTTAGAGTACAGTTTATTCCCTAGGAAAATCATTTGGTTCCCCATAAGGACCTCCTGGAGAATGGCTGCGGCTTATGCCTGATGAAAGGGAAATCTTATATATGGCTTGTGATCAAATCCAGCCTTATTCCCACTTTGCTCCTGAAGCTGAAAAGACCTGGAGCCTGAAAACACCAGAGCCTAATTATCTGGCTTCCACAATAGCCATCTCCCTTTGAAATGAGACCAGTAGCAGCTTCATGTCTATGTCCTGATAACTGGCCAAGCTTCCTAGCTTGATCTCACGTTCTCTGTACTTGTTAGTGTCACCAAGAAAAGTCAAACCGACATCACACAAGTCTTTCCTCAAGACCTCTAAAGAAGGTTAAATAGGATAACTGAGGAGGAAAACAACTGAGCTAGGGTTTAGTGGTCCTTTCTTTCATCTTCAGTGTCTCTCCTAAGTATCCTGGGGTGAAATCACCTAAATTAAGCCTTCATATCTCTTTTCTGTAAATAGAGATAATGATATATTTTGCTTACCTTGAGGTGGTTAATTATTTATCTGATTAGAAATTGGTTCTTTTTGGATGAAAGACATAAGATATGTAGAGTAATAGGAAGGTGTGTTGAGCTTTCTAGCCTTCTTGCCAGATTAATACAGCTCAGTTGCCTGCTTGTGAAGGGTATGGCGATGGCCTAACAATGGCTGTCAAGGCTCTGACATATCTATGGCAACTACTGCCTGGTTCATAGCAACCAAACCCACATCTTCCTACCTTATATGATTACAGCTAATTACTAAATGAACTTTTAGTCATCATAGTTTTTTTTCAGTTTACAAAGTATTTATATATATTATACAAACTGTTTTTTATACAAAGTAGATCTTTATTTATATAGAACTTAGTATGTGTCAGCCCTCATGTAAGTACATTATACATATTAACTCATTTGATCCTTATTACAACATTGACAAAAAGTGGGGGCTGTCATTCCTACTTTTTGGAGATGAGGTTCACAACGAGATTAAATAATTTTCCCAGGGCTACCCAGCTAGTATGTGATAAAGCCAGAATCCAAACCTGGGTGTTCCAGCTTTAGAACCTGTATATTAGGTTAAGGGTCTCACAGGCTGTGTGAATGAGATGCTCTCAGGAACCAAAGAAACTGCATCTGTTCTGGGCCTCTTTGTCTCTTCTGGCCAAACTGTATTTTACTTACTCTGTTTTTGGTGAACTTTTAAAAAATAAACTTCATTTTAAAAAAGATTTTATTTATTTATCTGACGAATAGAGATCACAAGTAAGCAGAGAGGCAGGCGGGGGATGGGGGAAAGCAGGCTCCCTGCTGAGCAGAGAGCCTGATGCGGGGCTCAATCCCAGGACCCTGAGATCATGACCTGAGCCCAAGGCAGAGGCTTAACACACTGAGCCACCCAGGTGCACCAGGATGGTTTTAGATAAACAGAAAAACCACAAAGATACTACAGAGATTGCCCATATACCCCACGCCCAGTTTCCTCTATTTTTAGCATCCTATGCTAGTATGGTGCATTTTTTCTTACAATTAATGAAGCACTATTCTTTTTTTAATGAATCAATCTATGTATTGGGAAATATATTTATTTACATCTTAGAATTTCACTGGAAGCAATATTCTTTAATGTCCTTCTTCTGTTCCAAGATCCCATCTAGAATCCCATAGTATATTTTGTTGTCAAATCTCCTTAGGATCCTCTGGGCTATGACAGTTGCTCAGATTTTGTTTTTGATGACCTTGGCAGGAGTACTGATCAGGTATTTGTAGAATGCTCTTCACTTGGTGTTTGTATACTATTTTTCTCATGAGTAGGCTGGAGTTATGTGTTCTTGGGAGGAAAACCACACAGGAAAAGGCCTTCCTCTTTACATCATATCATGAGTACATGCTACCAACATGATGTATTGCTGGTGATGTTGACTTTGGTCATCCAGCTGAGGTGGTGTTTGTCAGGTCTCTCCACTGTAAAGTTACTCTATTCTCCCCTTTCCATACTAGACCCTTTGGAAGAAAGTCACTATGTGCAGCCCACACTTAAGGAATGCGGAGTTGTGTTCCACCTCCTTAAAAGTAAAGTATTTACATAAATTATTTGGGATTCTTCTGTATGGGAAGTTTGTCTATTTTCACTCATTTGTTTATTAAATCATTTATTAATACAATATGGACTCATGGGCATTTATTTTATACTTTGAGTTATAATCCAATACTACTTTATTTATTTATTTATTTCTGCTCAAATTGTTCCAACTTTGGCACTGGGCATTCTTTCAGTAGACTCCTGTATCCCTCTGACACACCTCCATCGTTGTGTTTTTGTTTGTTTGTTTGTTTGTTTGTTTTAGCACTTCATTGCTTTCTGGCCCTATCAGATGTTTCAGGCTCATCTTCTGTATTCCCTGCCTTAGTCATAGAATCAGCCATTTCTTCGAGGAGTCCTGGATCCTTTCATTAGAGAATGGTCTTAAAAATCAAGATCTGGGTAGTAGATGTGCTCATTGCTACTGATGTGGCATTGCTTCTAGGCCCTCTCAGACGACAGAACAAGGAAATGTATGTTTGTTTACTAACTTGTGTATATACCTATAAATGTTTATGTAACAGTGTTTATGTATAGTGAACTAAATGAGATTGTACTGATGTTTTCAACTCTAACCCATCACCACTTGGATCATTCCAGCCTTTGCCCTTGGCTCATATGTAACCTCCCACTCCAACAATGAGCAACCCAGCTTCCATCATCCATGATCTATTGACTTGATTATTCAATCCCAGTATACATATATAGCAGTATTAGAATTCTTAACTCACACCTGCGAGTAACTAGATCAGCTAGAGTAGAATGCTCTGTGTACTTCCTTTTGCTTTTGCTGTTACAGATTCCACTTATTTGCAAAGTTACTTGGGTCATTACTTACCCAACTTTCTTCAGTGAAGTTGTTTTGTACATTCGTAATACACATACTGTGATAAGTTAATTTTATGTGTCAATTTGACTGGGTCACGGGGTACCCAGATATTTGGTCAGACATTATTCTGGGTGTTTCTGTGAGAGTGTTTTTGGATGAGATTAACACTTACCTGAGTAGGGGTACATGGGTGGCTGAGTCAGTTAAGCATCTGCCTTTGGCTCAGGTCATGATCCCAGGGTTCTGGGATCCAGCCATTCATTGAGCTCCCTGCTCGGTGGGAAGCCTGCTTCTCCCTCTCACACTCCCCTGATTGTGTTCCCTCTCTCTCAAATAAATAAATAAATAAATAAATAAATAAATAAATCTTTAAAAAACAACAACAACAACAAAACCCATTTACCTGAGTAAAGCAAATTGTGCTCCCCAATCTGTTGGCCTTACTCGATCAGCTAAAGGCCTGAATAGAACAAAAAGGCTGACCCTTTCCCAAGTGAGAGGATTCTTCCTATTTGACAGCTTTCGAAATAGGACATTGGCTTTTTTCCTGGACCCTGGAATCATGACCTGAGCCAAAGGCAGATGCTTAACCAACTGAGCCACCCAGATGCTCCTGTGTATAGCTTTCTAAATACACAGGCACTTTTGAGTGCTCTGATTTCCCAAAGGAACTTTTGTCTTGGATTTTTCTCCCAGGAATTTAGGTGGTATATTGATGATATGGCTTATTGATAACCTTCGCAGCTGCAGGATTCTGTTTACCTTACAATATTTTTGAGCAATGCCCATCACTTTCTGCCCTGAATGAATTCTGATTTAGGGGAAACAAAGACTAGAACCTTGTGTCAGTCCTTCAGGTAGCCCCCAGATGGGTTAAAACAGAACACACAATAATTTGTGAGTAAGGTCTGCTCTATGATCTCTGGAACCAGGGACCAGGGTCACGCACTGGGAATGCAAGATGCCATCTTCAAGACCACCATTGAGCTGGGGAGGGGTGAAGCGAGGGTAGGTAAAAACACCACAAAGCTTTCTTGTCATTTTTAAGTTTCCTTTTTAAAAAAATTCAGTGTTCACGTGGTTGCTTGTAAACCCATGTATTTCAGAGTTCTGACAACATTGGTTCTGACCGTTTTTGCTTGTTTTCCAGTGTTTCTGTGGATGCATGGGAGTTTGGAGCTGCCTACTCTGTCATTAGCTGAAGTCATTCCCTTACACACTGTAGTATTGCCCATTTTAGAAAACTTGATTTTTTTAAAAATGATTTTATTTATTTATTTGAGGGAGAGAGTGAGAGAGAGAAAGCATGAGCAGGGGAAGGGGCAGAGGGAGAAGCAGGTTCCCTGCTGAGCAGGCAACCCAATGCAGGACTCTATTCCAGGACCCTGAGATCATGACCTGAGCTGAAGGAAGGTGCTTAACTGACTGAGCCACTCAGGCACCCCAGAAAACTTGATACTTTAATATCTTGTTTAATCTACAGGTTTACTCTTCTTTCCTTTCTTTTAGCATTTGTTTTCTTTTAAAAATTACCGTATTTTAAAATAGACTTTTAAAAGATTTTATTTATTTGTTTGACAGACAGAGATCACAAGTAGGCAGAGGCAGGTAGAGAGAGGAGGAAGCAGGCTTTCTGCTGAGCAGAGAGCCCAATGTGGGGCTCGATCCCAGGACCTGGGATCATGACCTGAGCCGAAAGCAGAGGCTTAACCCACTGAGCCACCCAGGCGCCCCTAAAATAGACTTTTAAAGGACACATCTATCCATACAATTTTAACACACATAGATTCATGTATCCACCACCATAATCTGCATGTAAAACAATTGCATCACGCCCCAAAACTCCTCTTTGCTATTTCTTGATAGTTACACCTCTCCCTCAACCCTTCCCCCTACACACTCTTAATTTCTGGCAACCAGTAATCTATTCTCTATCATTACAATTTTGTCATTTTGAGAATGTTATATAAATTGAATCATAGGGTGTATAACCTTTTGAAATTAGTTTTTTAACTTCAGCCTAATGACTTTGAAATTCATCCAAGTTTTTTTTATCCAAGTTTTTGTGTGTCTAAATAGTTGGTTTCTTTACTGCTGAGTAAGATTTCATTGTATGGATATACTACAGTGTATTTATTTGATCCTTTGAAAGATGTTTGTATTATTTCCAATTTTTGAGCAAGAATAAGCATCCATAATCAGAATTTTTTTGCCTTTTTAACTTTTTATTTTGAAATAATCATAGTTTTACAGAAAGTTATATAAATAGTACAAGGAGGTCCTATGTATTTTTCACCTGGGGTTCCCTATTTTCTCTATTACTGGGGTTCCCTATTTTCCCTATTACTAACAGTAATACCTTATATAACTATAGTACAATATTAGAACCACGAAATTGACATTGACAAAACATATAAACTGTGTTCAGGTTTCACTAGTTTAACACACACTCATTTGTATGTGTATAGTTCTATGCATTTTTTGAAATAACAGCTTTATTGGGACATAATTCACAAACCAGACAGTTCTCCAATTTAAAATCTGTAGTTCAGTAGTTATGTTCAAAGAGTTGTGCATCCATTACTGCAGTCAATTTTAGAACATTTTGCTGCATCCAATAAGTTTTGGAATGTTGTATTTCCATTTTTATTTGTCTCAAGGTATATTTTGATTTCTCCTTTGCCCCACGTGTTTTTCAGTAGCATGATGTTTAATTTCCACCTATT